GCCCCATTTACAAGAACTGAGGGAAGTACATTCTAATGCCTCCACCCTGCGGTTCAATTAAAAAAAATCTATTATAAACATGATTAATCCCAAATGACCTCTAAATTGTTGAGCAATCAGAAACAACCCAGCCATCAGTCATATTTCAGAACTCATATTTCAGAGTTCTGCATGCTTGAAAAATGAAAACAGCAGCACACATGTGCAAGTTAACCGCATGATGTCGTTGCTTTCAAAAAGCTATGTTTTGCCTATTCACACAAAAACACGCAAAACAGATTTTTGAGGGCATTTTTGAAAAATGTCAATTTTCAGTGATTAAAAATGTCAATTTCGTGTGGATAGGAACCCAAAACACAAGGAAAAAAACTATGTTTTCAAAAATACTGTAGCAAATTGGTTCATAAAAAAAGCACATACTTAAACCAAGTACCCTCAAGGTCTCTTACCCTACAGTTCTACACATAGTGTGGACTTTAAGGAGGACTAGGGGGTTTAGGGGCTGTTTGCAATTGAGCTTTTGTCAGATTTATTAGGCTGTGACTGGGCGGTGTAGGCCTGGATCTGGACTCCCACACCTAGATCAGGAGTTTTCAGCTCCCATACCTGGGGACTAACCCTTCACATCAAAGGCAGGATAACTAGTTGATGAATTGTATTTGGTGAGCAAGTGCAGGGACAACCTGAAACTGTTGAGGATTCGAAGGACTTGAGTTGAACCATGACCTAGGTCAAAAAATCCAGATCTTTAATCCAGTTTCTTTCCAATTTTGGTCCTGGATTTTGTACAGACTGGTAGTTGCCTGAACTGTTGATTGTCTGAAAGTGTCATACCTACTAGAGATGACAAAGTTCAGGAAAACAACTGGACTCAAGATCTAGATATGTGACCTTGAGCAAGAGATTCTAACTCTGGTCCTGGAGTAAACCTGGCACAGTTTAATGTTTTCCCTGCTCCCAACAACGCTGATTCCAACTCAGCAGCTAATAAGCAAGTTGAAGTGGGAGTATCAGAGCAAGCAAAATGCTAAAATGCATTGCTGTGCCCTTTAGAGATTTGGAGCAAACTGCAGAACAAGTAAGTACCTCTTCAGAGAAAACTGAGAAAAGCATTTTATTTAATAAAATCTTTGTTTGCTCTTTAAATACATGCATTTCATACAGCCAGAGCCTACATGCCAGGTTATACAGCAACTAGGGGTAGGGGGAAAAATCGATTCTTAGATGCGGACGTGGACGATTCTGAACCGATTCACAAATGTCAAAAATCGATGTTGACAGAACGCAAAAGGCAGAACTTGGAAGTGCGGAAGTGCAGCGCCCGGGCAGACAGTGAGCGAGAACTCTGCATTAAAAGCTAGGTTAGGTCAGGAGTTGACAACCCAAATGTTAAGAAGAGCCATTTTGTCCTTTCAACAGAAATCAAACTACCTTGGAAGCGACATTTTATGTCCAATATGTTTCAGTATGTGTTAATGTCTTAGTATAGGCTAAAAATATAAACCAAAACGCAAGTTATAAGCTATAGCTATAGCTGCTTTCCTCACGTCTCCGCCAGACAACTTTTCCTCAAAAGTTGAATAGTTTCTTGTAAAATGTCTCTCAATGTTCGACTGTTTTACGAGGCTGAAGTCGCTTTTTATTCGCTAGCTTCGTGTTCGAAGGTGGAACAGCAAAATTCAAAAGAGAAGCTGACTTCATCTTTGCAACTTTTTAGTGTTTCACAGTCTCTCATTGCAGATTTAACATACCAGGAAACCAACTCCAGTGCTTATAAATGCGAGTAAGTCCTATTATCTCCAAACGTTCGTCTTAAATCTCTCTTTGCCTTTTCGTTCGCTGCTAGCTAGGCGAGGTGATGTTGCTGTGTGACCTGCAGTCTGCACGCCAGTTCTCAGTCGTTAAGAACCAGGGCTTTCGCGCTATGTTGCTCACGTCCCGTCTCAAAGATGTTTCACTGACACAGCGACCCCCCCACACTCTCTACAATGAGACCAAAACCAAAGTTATAAAATCACTAAAGAAAACATTTAGGCTATAACGTGCTGCATGGACATCCATTGCCACAGGATCTTATGTCACCGCAGCAGTGCATTTTATCACAGTTGAGTGGCAGCAACGTCTCGTGTGCTCCAAACAAAAGCAGTGAATGAGAGCCTTCGAGTTCACTTGCTACATCACTTCCATTAGTTTTATTAATAAAAGATATTGGAAGTAAATTCATTATGGATTATTATAAATACTTTGCTTTAAAAGTACCAAGTCCTCACACAGTGAGAAAATAGAAACTCTGTATAGAAAAAAAAGATGCATCAAGATGCATCGATAATCAATTTATAATCGCATCGCAGCCCTCTGAATCGTAATCTAATCGAATCGTGAGGTGCCTAGAGATTCAGACCCCTAACAGCAACCCTTTATAGTTTCAAGTATTCCCAAGTATTCCAAACTTTAGAACCCCTAATGAACCTATCAAGGAACAACTTGAAACAGTTGAGGGTTGCAAGGACTTGAGTTGAACCATGACCTAGGTCCCAAAATCCAAATCTTTTGTCCAGTTTTGGTCCTGGATTTTGTACAGACTGGTAGTTACCTGAACTGTTGGTTGTCTGATAGTGTCATACCTACCAGAGATGACAAAGCCCAGGACAAAAACTGGATTCAAGATCTAGATTTGGGGCTCCCGAGTGGCGCAACCGTCTAAGCGTTGGCCCTATCATCAGGAGATCGCGAGTTCGATCCCTGGTGATGCTACAGCCATCCGTAGCCGGGAGTCTGAGAGAGCACAGTTGGCCTCGTCTGTTAGCTGACGTAACAGATCTGGCGGTTGGCGCTTTCTTCCGAGCGCGTTCAGCTGTCCAGTGACGTTGCGTGAGCGGCAGCTCGAAAAGAAAGCAGTGGCTGGCTTCACAGGTCTCGGAGGAAGCCTGTGTTAGCCTTCACCCTCCTAGCGTTGATAGCATCGTGTGATTGGGGGACTCCTAACTAGCGGGGTGGAATTGGCTACGACTAAACTGGGGAGAAAATCGGGGAAAAAAAAATCTAGATTTGAGACCTTGATCTAGGATTTCCACCCCTGATCCTGGAGTAACCCCTGGCCCATACAGTTTAGTGTTTTCTCTGCTTACAATAAAGCTGATTCCAATTAAGCAGCTAATAAAGCAAGTTGAAGTGGGAGTTGTAGAGCAGGAAAACACAAAAATGTGCAGGGCAGGGGCTACTCCAGCACCAGGGTTGGGAAACTGACCCAGATAATACTGCACACCTGTTTTGTGTATTGAAAGGCAAATACAAGGGACTTGCATAGATCATTTCAATGTCTTAAACTAAATTGCATTCGTTTTTATTCACAGACATTTCGTCTTTGGAGCCACACTGTCTGGATACAACACTTTGCTATTCTTGTCTGAAACAGTTGGGGACCAATCAAGCTTGACCGTGGGAGGGTCATTGGTTGACGGCTCAGATGTGAGCATGATCAAGTGAGTGTTATTTGTAGTACTTCTTCACAAAGTAAGCAGTGCTATCACAGTTATGACCTGTTGGTGTTAAGAGACATGAGTGAAAGGCCGCTGAAAGAGGCTACCATGTTATCAACACTTCTCTTTTGATAGTTACTCCACCTCCCACTCCTGTTAAATATTGTATGTCAGGGTTCTCCAACTGCTGCCTTGGCAGCACAGCATGGTTTAGTGTTCTCTGATTCAGCTCATTGAGTCAGGTGTATCAGAGCAAGCAAAATGCTAAAATGCATCGTTGTGCCCTTTAGGGATTTGGAGGAAACTGCAGAACAAGGAAGAACCTCTTCAGAGGAAACTGACAAAGACATTTTATTTAATAAAATCTTTATTTGTGTTTTAAAAGCATGCTTTTTCATACAGCCATAGCCTACATGCCAGGTTATACAGCAACCCTTCCCAGTTTCAAGTATTCCCAAGTATTCCGAACTTTAGAACACCTAATGAAACTCATCAAAGGCAGGATAGCTAATTGATGAGTTGTATTTGGTGAGCAAGAGCAGGGATAACCTAAACTGTTGAGGGTTCCAAGGACTTGAGTTAAACCATGACCTAGGTCCCAAAATCCAGATCTTTTATCCAGTTTTTTTCCAGTCTTGGTCCTGGATTTTGTAAAGACTAACACTAACCTGAACTGCTGTTTTTCTGATGGTGTCATACTTGCCATATCTACAGACCTACCAAAGCCCAGGATGAAAAAAACTGGATTCAAGATCTAGATTTGAGACCTTGATCAAGGGTTTCTAACCCTGGTTGTGGTGTAACCCCTGCACAGTTTAATGTGTTCCCTGCTCCCAACAACGCTGATTCCAACTAAGCGGCTAATAAGCAAGTTGAAGTGGGAGTTGTAGAGCGGGAAAGCACAAAAATTTGCAGAGCAGGGGGTGTTCCACCACCAAGGTTAGGAACCTGACCCAGATGATACTGCTCTCCTGTTTTGTGTATTGAAAGGCAAATACAAGGGACTTGCATAGATCATGGCAATGTCTTAAACTAAACTGCATTCATTTTTATTTAGACATTTCTACACGATCTGGATACAACACTTTGCTATTCTTGTCTGAAACAGTTGGGGACCAATCAAGCTTGACCGTGGGAGGGTCATTGGTTGACGGCTCAGATGTGAGCATGATCAAGTGAGCGTTATTTGTGGTACTTCTTCACAAAGTAGGCAGTGCTATCACAGTTATGACCTGTTGGTGTTAAGAGACATGAGTGAAAGGCCGCTGAAAGAGGCTACCATGTTATCAACACTTCTCTTTTGATAGTTACTCCACCTCCCACTCCTGTTAAATATTGTATGTCAGGGTTCTCCAACTGCTGCCTTGGCAGCACAGCATGGTTTGGTGTTCTCTGATTCAGCTCATTGAGTCAGGTGTATCAGAGCAAGCAAAATGCTAAAATGCATCGTTGTGCCCTTTAGGGATTTGGAGGAAACTGCAGAACAAGGAAGAACCTCTTCAGAGGAAACAGACAAAGACATTTTATTTAATAAAATCTTTATTTGTTCTTAAAAAACATGCTTATCCATACATGCCAGGTTATACAGCACATTCAAATCTTCATATAATCAGTCTTTATAAATAATTCATTGAAACATGACACAGGAATCTCTCATAGAGACTAATTCATTGACGATTCTGTACACAAGTACAAGTTTGTCATGGTTTAGAGCGAATTGAGACGCTTGTCATAGGAACAACAATATCCTACAGGAGCCCATTGAGCCCTCTCCCGAAGAGTGCTCCACCCTCCTGTTGTACAGGGGGTGTATTGATACTTCAGGAGTAGCACCTCTATGTGTGTTTGTGTGAGTCTTATGAATGACTGTGGTGCGTATATCCTATCTATGAAAGTTTGTGTGCGTGTTTGTATACAGTTCAGCACACAGGATGCCTCACAGAGACAAGAAGTCGATCTATTCGCCGAGATCTTCACGTGCCCGTTAACACTGTCCCAGGCTGTGCTTAATGATCTCTTTGCTGGAAGGCGGGATCCGGTCGGGGAAGACCACGTTGAACTCGACCAGGAGGTCGCCGCGCTGGGCAGGGTTTTTCGCTCGGGGAAGCCCCTCCCCTATGAGCCTTCTCACTGAGCCGGGCTTGATGACATCGCTGCAGGGGATGGGCTTTGTCTGTCCGTCAAGGGTGGGGACACTAATGGTGCATCCACATAGAGCCTAAAGAGAGACAGAGAGAGAGATGGAGAGGTTAACATTCTGTGCTAATGTACCACAATGTATCACAGTGTCAGAATAAACAACTAATCATGAATGAATCCTAAAATCTGCATCCTCCGCATCCTCTGCCACTCGAAGAGGGGTGTTTCATCACTCAGTCTGAATGCAGACACTGTGCCTGAGCTGAACTGAGAACAGCACTCCCACTCTTCACTCATTCTGAGGGAGTTATATCAGCCGTTTTAGAGTGGGCAGATGCCTCTCGGGCTCCAGAATAACCCTGAGCTGGCAGAGGATGCTGCGAGCCTGCGAACCGCTGGAGAATATATATAACCATTGCATAAGATTGAGTAGGGTTTCATTGTGTTCGGGCTGGAGAATGTAGGGCAGAGTGAATGAACCTTTCTTGTTATGCAAGAGACAAATGAGAGACAAGTGTTGCTAATGCGTTCCTGTCCTCCTCTCGTCCTGTCTGAGTGGGATCGAGTGCGTGGGAGGGAGAGAGACGAAGGGAGGGGGGGTGAGAGATGAAGGAGCGAGGGATGATGGAGGGGAGGAGGGCGAGAAACAGCAGGAGAGACAGGTGTTAGGCATGCGATGGTGCGAGACAGAAAGGGAGAGTGAGAGAGAGAGGGAGAGAGAAGGTTGGGGTGCTTGGGTTCACAAGGAGGAAAATGACAAAGGGAGGGGGGAACGAAAGAGGAAGAGGATGGGGAGGGAGCGATGAAGGTTGGGGTGAGTGAGTTCAGGAGATACAGAGAGTGGACAAAAAATGACAAGAGATGATGGGGAGACTGAGAGACACAGACGGGAGAGGAATTTATAATGAGGGAACATAGAGAGAGTGAAAGAAATGCCAGACGGGAGTGGAATTTTTAACAAGGGAACAGAGAGGATGAGAGAGAATGACAGCATGATGAGAGAGAGAGAGAAGCCAGAATGTGACTCTGATGTGTGAGCCGTATGTGTGAAGATGCTAAAGGCTGCAGAGCGGAGGAGATGATGATGAGAGGGCAAGGCGGGGGAGTGTGCGAGTGAGCGCGAGGCTGCGGGAGGGAGGGGGTGCTGCTAAATTTAGCCGCAGCGCTCTGCAGAGGCTTATCGAGTAGTGGAGACTGCGTGGGAGGAGAACAGGACGCGCTGTACTACTAAGGCACACGCGTGCGCTCACCTCTCGAAGGTTGATGGTGGCGGTGTAGACGATGTTGGAGCCGTCTCGTCGGAAGTGGTCGTGCTTCTTCTCCTTGACCACAAAGGCCAGGTCATTGGGGGCATGGCCGGGCACCTGGTGACCCTCTCCTGGAAAGGTGATCTTCGTCCCCTCCTTCCATCCTTTCTTCACCTCCACGTCGATCACACACTCCTCGGGCTGGAGCGTATTCTTCTCCGTCTGCCGGAGGCGTGTCACCTTCACGCGCTTGGTCACGCCCGTCAGGATGTCTTCCAGGCTCACCTGCAGGTCGTGCACCTCCGTCATGGGATGGGCCGCCGCCGCCTTGTTGCCATGTTGACGGCTGAGGTGGGGCAGGGGGTTTCTCAGGAAAGGGTTAAAGAGGTCTTCGTCTGAGTCGAACTCGAAGTTGAAGAAGACCCGCCAGGCGTGGGCGTCGGCCTTGGGGCTGCTGTGGGCGGAGTCTGCCTTGCTTCCAGTGGAAGACACGCCACCTTTAGTTAAACCTGGGAAAGAGAGAGGGCGGTGTTTGTGATTTCCTGCTGATATGTCATCTCAGAGGTCACATAAACAGCTTGTACCATTTACATAAACCAATAAACTATTGGACTCTTTTCATTTATATTAGGATCTCTAATTGATTAAACCAAACATATGTAAGCAAATAAAGCATTTGAAGTGTGTGGGTATGTGCAGGGGGCCCTTTTACTCCAAGATGAATTATTCATTCACTCTGCAGCAATCTGCATGTGACCGGGTTTGTTGCGAGCGCGCGCATGCGCACCCGAGCATATGTGTGAGAGCATGTGCTTGGACGGATCACCTGACTTCAGAAAGTTCAGAAGTCGTGAAGGAGCGAATCTCACCTTGCTGGTCGTACTGGCTGCGCTTCTGAGGGTCTGTGAGGATCTCGTAGGCTTGGGCGATCTGCTTGAACTTCTCCTCAGCGTCTGCTTCTGGGTTTTTGTCGGGATGGTAGCGTAATGCCAGCCGTTTGTACGCCCGCCGGATCTCCTCCTCATTGGAATCACTCGGTACCCCCAGCACAGCATAGTGGTCTACGCAAGGTGGAGATGGAGGAGGACTGGGCACCTCAGGGTCCTCGTGCACCTCCTGTTTACAGAGTGAGAGAAAGGAGCCGTTAGAGTGAGTTTCACTCTCCTTGGTTGTAAGGACACGTGGGACAGTGCTATCAGGACTTTGGGCATCAGTCTAGTTCTTCATATACAAAGTAATGCTTGAAAATACCTTGTTCGTTCCTCAAAATAATAGTTGGAAATTCTTGGTTTTACTGACTAATGAATTGGTTCTTTATATGCGAATCAGTAAAAAGAGACTTTGAAAACAAATTAGGCAGGATGCAAACAGTCTGTTGGTCCTTCAGTTGCAAAGTAATGGATGAATGAATATCATAGAGATACACCTGAGTCTACAGACCAGAGGCTTTACTTAAGTTTAAACACACAAGCATCATAAGCATTCATTCAGATTTCAGTCCTCATTGAATAAAACATGCCCCATGATACTGATTAATGCAGGAAAGAGAGAGAGAGAGAGAGAGAGAGAGAGAGAGAGAGAAAAGTCAGAGAAAGTTTTCAAGGAGAGAGAGAAAGTTCTCTAAGTCTCCGAATGTCCTACCTCTGAGGTCCAGGTCTCCTCGCCGTGGATCACGCGCACTTTGCACTTGACGTTCTTGTGCTTCACGCCGAACTGTGTCCAGATGAGAACCATGATGAGCTTGGAGTGGAGGCTCGCTGCTGCCGCTGATGCTGAGGCTGAAGCTGATGCTGCTAGTGATGCTGCACCGATCGCTCTACTGCTACTGCTGCCTTCTCGGGCGCTTTTATACAGTCTCCGCGCGCACACGCGCACACCAACCGCCCACGCGCTCCGTGAGAGAAAGCGAGCTTCCCCAGGCGGGCGCACGGAGGAGGGAGGGGGGATTGCCTCGCGCTCGCTCTGCACCATTGGCTCGCTGGCGCTCGGCGCGAGCGCGTCACGCGGATGCAGCGCGGCCCATCTCTCCATGTGGAGAAGCGTTTCCGGAATTTAAAATAGTTCATCTCTCACATCCACGCCCTCCTCCTTCTGCTCCTCTCAGCGCAGCGGCGAAAACGAGGACGGGCTCTCCTGGAGCCGGGCTTTAGGGGAACACTCGGAACACACGGAAAAACAGGGAACAATACAGAAAAATATATAATCCATATATATATATATATATATATATATATATATATATATATATATGGGTGATATACACACACATACAATATAATGTGTGTGTATACATATAAAATATAGTGTGTGTGTATATATATATATGTATGTATATATATATATATATATATATATATGTGCATATAGACACACACTATACATTATATGTTCTACACGCTATATTCCATATCTATATTCTATATATGTGCATATATGTATATATACATCTATAGAGAGATTCTTTAAACTTATTGATGAACTAAACTTATCTATTGTACTATATTATACTATATACTATGACACACTGTTATACTATAATGTGCGTGTGTATATATACTATACTATATTTTATAAACGAATGAGCTTTGAGGTAATTTAAATAAGCTATATCACGACACTATATTATATATTATTATTATATATATATATATATACGATGTGTATATAGTATATATATATATATGAGAGAGAGAGAGAGAGAGAGAGAGAGATAGATAGATTAGCTGCAGTTCATTCACACATTCATATAACCCTAACCCTAAAGTGTGTGTTTGGTGCTTTGTGGGGACCCCCCCCCCCACACACACACACACGGAAATGTTAAAAACACGAACACTGTTCTCCTGGGATAATTTGGCCCCTCCTAGAGGATAAAATACACCCCCCCCCCTAAAAAGCAGCTTCTCTTAGAGAAAGAAGAAGATGCCAGCAAACTATAGTTGTCTTAGAGAGAGTTTGAGAGACCGAAGCTGAGGTGGGGAGTTGGGTTCAGTCAGGTGCATGTGTTCCCAGACAGCCGCATTGCCCCCCCTCCCGCCACCACACACACACTCATGCTCTGCCGTGCAGCGCGTGCTGTGTCTGCTCCATCGCCGAACAGATTTTTTTGGTATTGTTCGTCTGGGCTGGGATGCAGTGCGCATGCGCATAAGCCTCCGGGAGCGGCGCGCGGTTGCGCAACGGAGCTGCTTCCAGCTTCCTCTACATACATGGCAGCGCTTCCTCAGCCAATAGCGCGCGGAGTCCCGCAGCCACCGGAACACGGACAAATGTGGAGAAGAGGGAGCCTCGGTCGCGCGCAGTCAGACAGAGAGAGAGAGAGAGAGAGAGAGAGAGAGACATTACACTGTTCTGCTGGAACCTGTTACATTTAAACAGCATGGAGCCGCGCGTGAGGGGGTGCGCGTGTTAGTCACATGATGAGCTCGCGGTGACTGTCGTGGTTGGTATGTTACGCTCTTCAAGAAGATGCTTCTTCAAGGGTTCTTTAGTAAAGACAGTGGTTCTAGCTATATAAAACCATGAACACTCAGAGAACCATTTGCATGCTTACATGGTTCTTCGCATGGTGAAATGGTTCTTCAGATTGATGGAGAATGTGTTGTGCATTGGTTCTCTATAGAACCTTTTTGAAAATGTTCTACATAGCAGCAGAATGGGTTCTTCTATTGTTACAAGCTTGTACCTCGTAACAATAGTAGAAGTCTTTTTGGTGCTGCATAGAACCATTCTCAAAACGGTTCTATGCAGAACCTTTCTTATGGCCCTAAAATGGCTCTTCTATTGTTACATCATAGCAAGAACCATGTATAGAACGATTTACAAAAAAGTACTATACGGAACCCTTTTTGTTGCCATTTTCAAAAGGATTCTGTATGGAACCATAAACAACACATTCTGCATCAATCTGAAGCTGTGTTTTACTATACAAAGAACCATTTAAGCATGAAATGGTCCTGTATAGAACTCATGGTTCTAAATAGAACTATTGCGTTTACTAAAGAACCCATGAAGAACCATCTTTTTTAAGTGTGTGGAGTGTGCAGGTTTTCTGGAGGGGCTTTTGTGAGTTTGGGCATGTATTTCTGTGAATGGTGTCTGGAGCTCCTCTTTGTTCAGGACGGCTCCTCAGGGGTGTGAGTGAGTCGTGACCGTGTGCCTGTAATGATCCTCAGCGCGTGACCGGCGGAAGTCCAGCTGGGCGCGCGCCTGTAATCCATAATTAGTGTTATTAGTGTGGACCGGCGCGCCTGGGGTAAAATGGACAGATGAACGACAAGGTAAAATAAGACATTTAGTAACATTTTGATTAAAGAAAACTGTCCAGTGTGAATGGACTGTCTGCACATATAAAACCAGTTTCATAATTTGAATATAAATTATTCAAATTGAATATAAAGGCCAGTTTATATAAAAATGACCATTTTAAAGGCTATACAGGCTGGTTTCCCAAGCCTCCACCCTTAAAGGGTCCATATCCTACATTTCTCTCACATTTTATTCTTTTCCACCCGTGATGTTTATGTGCCTTTATGTTATTTTAAGTATAGCCATAATTTATCTTTACATGACCACTTTCCAACCTCAATATATATATAATAGATTGCAACAGCCTGTTTTTTGTTACTGTGCCTTTAAGGCTGATATATGTAAATGAGCTCCCCTGTTGTGCTTCATTCAAAATGCAGTCAAGGCCGAAACACTCCTTATAACTTAAGTGAGAATGGGTGGAGCTTAAGTGCTGTAGGCTGAATAGGCAGTTTCACATAAATGCATTGTACTAATACACTCCTTGTAACTTCAGTGACAATGGGCGGAGCTTAACTGCTGTAGGCTGAATAGGCAGCTACATGAAGATGCATTGTACTAATACACTACTTCTAACTACAGTGTGAATGGGCGGAGCTTAACTGCTGTAGGCTGAATAGACAGTTTCACATAAATGCATTGTGCTGAAACACTCCTTATAGCTTCAGTGTAATGGGCGGAGCTTAACTGCTGTAGGCTGAGTAGGCAGTTTCACATAAATGCATTGTGCTGAAACACTCCTTGTAGCTTCAGTGTAATGGGCGGAGCTTAACTGCTGTAGGCAGTTACATGTAAATGCATAGTGCTGAAACACTCCTTGTAGCTTCAGTGTAATGGGCGGAGCTTAACTGCTGTAGGCAGTTACATGTAAATGCATAGTGCTGAAACTATAATTTCAGTGTGAATGGGTGGAGCTTAACTACTGTAGGCTGAATAGATGGGCTTGCAAATATGTCGTTGTTCATGACATCTTGAAGTGATGCAGTTTTGCCCTTTTTTCTATATTTGATCTGTATGGACTGAGCAGCACCATGACCCTGTTTGAGAACCCCTGCCATACAGAACCATTTTTGTCTTGGACTACATTGTAGGGCCAATGGTGAATCTACATAGGAAATTATTTTTATTCTAGGATTAGGCTTAATCTGGGTCTGGAAGACCAGTCCTAAATAATAAAGCAGGCCTTTACATAAGGCTGCTCTTCTTTACAGCCTTTTGGTGTGTGTGTGTGTGTGTGTGTGTGTGTGTGTGTGTGTGTGAGAGAGAGAGAGAGAGACAGACAGTGTGATGTGCAAAAGCTGTGAGCTGTGGGGTGTGGAGTTCACAGGTACTCTCAGTCCTACACCCCCCTCTTCCCTCTCTCCCTCTCCCTCCCTCCCTCTCTCTCTGTCTCCCTCTCTCTTTCGGTGGGTGTTAGAAAAGGTTAAGTTCTGAGTCACGACTGTGAGTGGAGTGAAATTGGACGACCGCTGAAAGTCAGATGAGTGTTAGATGTTGAACCAGTGGAGAAAGCAGATCTTTGTTGGTAAGAAGGGCCCAAATCCTACATTTATGGCATCTGTGTAGTTTTATGCACCAGAAACAGTCATAATTCATGTATACATGAACTATCTTTACTCCTCTGGATTAAACAGGCTGTTTTTATTACTGTACCTACTGTAAGACTGATGCAAATGAGGCTCTGTTTTGATTGTACTATGTTGTGCCACATTAAAAAGCAGTCCAGGCTGAAACACTGCTTATAGCTTCACTGTGAGTGGGTGGGGCTAAGCCGGTATAGGTTGAACAAGCAGTTACATGTAAGTGCATCGGTTTTTATGACATCACAAAAACAAATCAATACTGTTCACTGTATGTTTGAAACTATAACAGTGTGAATGGGCGGGGCTAACCTGCTTTAGGTTGCATAGGGAGACTCATGTAAATGCATTGGTTTTTATGACATCACAAAAACAATCAATGACATCACAAAAACAAATCAATACAGTTCACTGTACGTTGTGAAACTGTAACAGTGTGAATGGGCGGGGCTAACCTGCTTTAGGTTGCATAGGGAGACTCATGTAAATGCATTGGTTTTTATGACATCACAAAAACAATCAATGACATCACAAAAACAAATCAATACAGTTCACTGTATGTTGTGAAACTGTAACAGTGTGAATGGGCGGGGCTAACCTGCTTTAGGTTGAATAGGGAGACTCATGTAAATGCATTGGTTTTTATGACATCACAAAAAACAGTGAATTCAAAATGGGCTACTTTTGCAGCTTGGTTTCCATATGTGGACTGTATGGACTGGTGAGTGAAGGGTATGTTTGTAATGTTAACAAATGATATCAAACTTTTTGGGGAAAAAATTCAGTTTCATACAATATGGGCCCTTTAATTTGATGAACCCATGTCTCAATGCTGCTTCTCTACGCTAAAAGAATGTCAAACCTGATATAGCTTGATTTGATTGGGCTGTTTGAGTTTTATAAAATATTGTAAACATTAAGCATCTATGTAGTTGGGTGATAGGTCAATTAACGACGACACTGATTTGTAGATTTGTCATCTCGGACAGGTGAAAGAAGATTTGTTGACAGATCATATCAGGGAAGGTCTGCCTTTTACTACAATGAAGGTTGTTTTGCACTCTAATTTAGGCCATGCAGATACAAAATAACATGATTTACTCATAATCATGATGGAATTATGAGAGATGAAGGCCGATCTGACAGTATGAAGTGTTGGGTGCAAACTAGCGTCTGAGATTCAGCCTACGCGAAAAACAAACAAACAAAAAAAAGGCACTAATTGCAGCATGCAAGTGTAATAAGGTCAGGGAGGGATGTCTGGGGGTGTTCAGGAAAGGATGGAGACAGAATGAGCTCAGGAACAGAATGTGCTGTGGAAAGAACATCGACACAGTGCCACCTGCTGGCTGTACACAACACCACAAAAGGATCAAACATTCTATTCCACACTCCCTGTCCACTTTATTAGAAACCCCAACCTTTGTACGTCCACTTTTTGAGCTGCACCTACCTTATAGGTCCTCAGTGTAGGTCAGGTGTCACCAGTCTTATCCACAGAGATTTTTATTCAAATTAAGCAGAAGCACCGATTCCTTCGTGAGGTGTGTTCCAGCTCGGTTGGAATGTAGTTGATGGAGTGATAGCTTTAATGTTCATGATGCATTTACCTTCTCAAATCAGCAACATTTAATGATCAGTGTTATAGTTTAATCAACTACTCTGTCTGTATATTGACTGATCAAGCAAAACTCATTTAAAAGTATAACAGTGGTCCTTGATTACTGTTGACAGAGTGAGTAGCCAATTGTCAATTTGACCTCTTATGCTGATTGGTCTTTAATGGCCCAGTTATATTTATAAAATCATAGCCTGCATGAATATCCACAGCTATTGTAGTGATTCTGTCTTTAATGGCATTAAAAAATAGGGTTGAGCGGTATGATGGTAATAAGGTGTACCATAGTATTTAAAATGATGCCGGTATTTAAGTAAATATGTATTCCATTCCATTTCAAATAAACACATTCCATACATTTATATTTTAAAGGGCCTCTTAGTGATTGGCGGTAGATCACCAATAGGTGATGCTGATAGAAAGGGGAGGACAAATCAGAGCTAGAAAAAGCCTAAGAGGACTATCTATCTGTCTATTTATACATGTGTGTGTATATATATGTATATATATGTATATATATTCTTTGATAAAACTAAGCATGATAGCGGCTCAATGACAGCTAAAAGCCACACAGCATAGAACACAGTCAACTTTCACTGTAACACCAGTCACTCAACTCTGCGCTCTCAGATATCCTCTGAACGGGCGTCATTTTAGCATCAGTTAGCTAGAACCCAGCCTTTGCTGTGCTGTGTGTCACATTTAGCCTGCTAAATAACCTATTATTAACGCTATAGTCTCAAAAACACCACAGAACAGATTTGATTTTGGCTTTCTGTCACTCCAACACCAGACACTCCACTTTTACTCACTCAGACTTTAGTTTTTCTCGCTAGGCTAACATTAAGTTAGCTGATCCAAACATCATAGAACAGGTTTAATCTCACTTTTCTGTCTCTTTAGCTCCAGCTGCTAGACCTCACTCCCTCAGATTTGACTCACTATCATCTAAACTTGTGTCTGTGCTTTATTTAGCCAGAACTGAACATGTTCTGTGGTGAGCAGAGCGGTTAGGATGCTAGCTAAGCTAATGCTATCCAGCTTCTCTCTTCTAGTTAGCAGCACTGTTTCACATTTAGCAACTGTTAGACAGTTTGACATTTATTGAATGAAGTCTTGAAAATCGTACACTGTTCACATATTTGGTGACCATGTAAGCGAACCTATGTGATTATTTTTGCTTTTGAAAAAGGTATGAAAAAGTGGTTACAACACATCTACAATTATATAAAATCTTTCAAAAGAACGTTCTTTCCTCAGTCTTTCAGTTTTAATGGTGCTCCGTGTTTCACAGAAAGTAAACGTGACATTTTTGCATAGCCTTAGTGTCGTATCACAACTGACATCTCCAACAAGGTGAAAGCTATTAACATTAGCTGTACTCGGTGCAGGATTACATTTTCAGAAGTGATCACTGTGTTTCCCGGTGCTGAAAGATACATGACATTAATCTCATGGTGCAAAAGTAGCTGATTACATAAATCTATTATTACACGCATCTGTAAAAAAAAAGCAGGTTAAGCATGAAAGGCTAAATTTGGTCAGCAGCTTTGGTCAGAAATGGCTAGATTGGCAGGTTTATTTTCAAGCATTCAGTCTAATCCAGTTTTTGAATACACACGGAAGCAAATCCTTTCCGTTCCATCTTATATATATGTAGCCACAGCTACTTCCAGCATATAAGCATAATGTACTGCAACCATAAGAACATTTTATTTTGGTTTTCAGCCACTTCAGGAAGGGCAAGTGGCAGGGGCGGCTGGGCCGCAGGCCAATTCTGAATGAAAATGAGTGATAATGATGAGTCTAGCACCTTCACGCAGGGTAATACGTGTAGTTTTTCATGATTAATAGGTTTTAACAGTACAAATGAGCAATTTGGCACAGAGTAGGTAAAGGCATACACATTGTGTATACGCATATCCCAACCCTAGACACGTACATTGTGTACAGACGTTGGCACGCACACTTGGGCTGTGTGTGGAGGTGTGTGTTTCAGGAATTTACAGAGGATCCAAGACTTGCTGTGTGCTGAACTCCTGGAAGTCCTCTGGAATAGTGTCTGCAAGAGAAAGTTGAAGAGTTGATAATTCATTATTTGTGTATGTGTTAGTATGGCTGTTCAATTCCAGACATTTTGGAGTCAACTCCGATTCCGATTCCCAGTGATGGGAATCAGTGGGGTTGGTCCTATGAGTCGACTGTGTGCAACAATATTGATTCCAAAACCAAGACACATAGAAAAATATCTGACAGAAATAAAGAGTACAATATCAATTATATTTGACTTTAGATAGGAAACCTGGAGAGCTAATGCTAGCTAAATTAACTTAGCTAACAAACAGAAGCTGGCTAAGTTGTACCTGAATCTCTGTCAGCTCCTTCAGGCGGGTAGACAATGTTGGTTGATTGTAAGCTAATTTTTTGTCAATACTATTACACTTTACTTTGTTTTCCACTTTGGCTAAAGGAAAATCCAGCTGGGCTAACAATGTGTGAGTTGTAGAAGGATGTACTTTTCAGACAGGCTGTCCAGACAGTGACAAAAAGATCTGCCCCTCCTCATCATCCTCCTTAGCATCCAGTCTCACAGATGTGATCAGATCAACTAGCTAAAACATAGCAGGCTAAACAGGCTAAAGGATAGCTAACTGGCTAAATCACTCCTCTGTTAATAATCACTGTTAGTGTTGAATTTAAGTATTTTTTACTGTATTTACTGTAAAACTGCCAAATAAAAAGTAAAGAACGTGTTACTAAAATGTCTAATACTGTTCAAACGTCTGTTAGCTTGATGTTAGCACAGCTGAGGAAATCACATTGAGATGCTGGAAGAAATTAGCATTATTATTGCAGTGGTGAGCTAAAACTGAGAATAGAGTGAAGGGTTCTACATAAAACACAGCTATAATATGAGATTTTTATGATAATATGTACATATATAAATTAATAAATTCAAGAAATGACTGCTGTATGCAGTGATGGGCGAATGAAAGTTCGTATCCTCCTTCATATTTGACTGGCAACAATAGCACACTCTAAACAAACTATGTTTTCTGGTGAAAGAATTGTTTATTACAACTATTATTAATTGTAACTTAAATGTACTATTAGAAATTAGTGTATTTAATCATATTTTATTTTCTTGCCATTTTATAAAGGCAAAAAGTCACTTGAGACCTTGTGTTACAGTGATTTTACCCAAAGTGGCTTGTTTTGCTTTTTGCTTGTTGCTGTGTTGGTCTATTGCTTTATTGTAATATACTTACAGTGTTAAAATGTGTAAATAATGTCAATAAAGTTTGTGTAAATAAATTTTTTGTAGAACTATTGCTTTATGTTTATAAGCATGCAGGTCTGTGTGAGTGTACAATCTCACCGTTGCAGCGGTACTTCAGGTTGGACCAGATGATGTTCTCCTGAGAGAAGCAGAACACACCTAACCTGCCGCCCCTCATCGTCGTGTCGATTGTCACGCCAGAGTCCGCCACCAGCTGTGTGCCCTCATAGAAACGAACCCTACGCACACAGACAAATTTATTTCCACACGTCATGGTGTGAATAGGCCTTATTTTGTGATGCATTTATGAAGGTATAGGGTTGGAAAAGTGCGTGTAGGTGTTTGTATGGGAGTCATCGCAGTCACAATGGTGTCTGTTTTTTTCCTATTATTTTTGGACCATTTGTGGAAGCGGACAAAAGATGGGCGCAGAGGCGGAACTTTTCAAGAGCCACTCTACATGCGACAAGAGCTTTGATGACAAACCTTGGTCAGTTATTTTCACTGAAATAATTACAGCCCTTTAATTATGTTCTCTTAATATTCTTTTTTCAGGAAGAGTCCTAAACTGTCAATGCTATTTTCAGAAAATCTATTCAACATCTTTTACCTCTACAAAAGGACAGAACAGTAATTGTTGGTTAACAAATGGGTGTAATTTGCTAATTATAAGTAGATGAATGGTTGTGACTTGTTTGTAGTGATCGATGGACTCACCTGATGTATCCAACTTGTGGACGGTGCTGGAGGTACCAGCGGTAAGACACTTTGTCCTTCCAGCCAACGTTACGTGGGTCCTTCCACAGGAGACGCACCTGGTCGTTGGTGTCACCCGTATGCCACAGGGAATTTCTCAAGTGTTCACCTGGGCCAGACTTTGACTTCACCGCCTGAGACAGCGAGAAAGATGGAGATTTGATTTTCATAATTGTGCTCATTAGGCTGCCCTTTATCATTTTGCTCTGGTGACATTTAGATCTGAACTCTTCCTCTTTGCTCCTTCATGGCGAGCTAAGAGTAAAGCTAAGACTTAATAACGTTTATTTGTGCTAACTTAACACACCTAGTGCACAGATTAGATTCTCCTCAATATCTTAATCAACTTGGTCAGTTGTATTAGATTAGGGCTAACCAGCTCTCAAAGAGCAGGTTTGGAGCATTTCTATAGCTGGTGACAGCTAGTTGAAAGGTCCTGACCTTCAGCTGGATGCCAGGCTCAGCGACGGCCCTGAAGGGTGTGGCCTGCCAGTAAGTTTGCTCTGTCTGCTTCCACATCACGACATAGAAGCTGGACGAGTCCTGGTAGCCGAAGATAAAGCCAGCGTAGTCATCGTCAGTCACTGTGTTCACATGGAACGTGCCCTCAAAGTCGACACCACTGAACGCTGTGTAACCTGGATATCACAGGAGCAATGGTTACTACGATGCTAAAACATCACAAATGCTTGCTTTTCACATAGCTCTGCTTACTGTGTGAGGGCCCAGAGATGTAAGCATACTCAGATATTAGAGTTTGATGTCATAGGACAGATTTCAGGTAGTTTCAGGTAGTATGTAACTCTGTGAATGTTGTAGATCATGTATGGTGAAAGTTGTGGAAGTCATAATCATTTGTAGACTGTGGCCTTATGCTTCAGCAAAGACGTGTGTGTGTGTGTGTGTATGTGTGTCCACTTACCCACAGCAAGACCAGGATCACTGTTCATTGTTTGCACAATCTCCATCCCCTGTAATAGACATGCAGACAGGACGAGCATGAGAGCAAAACCTACTAACCTAAAGTGACCACTCTGAGTGAGCTTCATTCATTCATTCTTGGACTAGGAGTCCAATTAATAAGGAGGCTAAATTTCAGGAAACCCGGTGAGCCCACCAGAGCACTTTTCAAGAGCGGAAATGCAGATTTTGCTGTAGTAGCCAATGTCCACTGTGAACCATGCCTTACTCATCACTTAGCCTTCTAAGTGACTTCATCACTTAGCCTTCTAAGCCTTCTCATCACTTTTACCTTCCACTTTTATAAATTCCTATGTCTTCTCTCAGCTCTAGAATTGTCCGCAATTTAAGAGCTGTGCTCTCTCTCAGTTCTAGAACTGTTACCTCTCTCAGCTGTCCCGTTTCTCAATTCCACAACTGTCTATTATCTCAATTCCAGAACTGTCCCATCACTCAGTTCTGGAATTGTTCCATGTCTAAGGTCTAAATTGTCCCTTCTCTCAGTTCTAGAACTGTCCTATCATTCAGTCCTGGAACTATCCCTTCTCTCAGTTCCAGAACTGTCCTATCATTAATTTTTGAAATTATCCCTTCTCTCAGCCCTATAACTGTCACTTTTGTCAGTTCCAGAACTGTCCTATTACTCAGTGCTAGAACTTTCCCTTCTCTCAGCTCCAGAACTGTCCCTTCTTTCAGTTCCACAACTGTCTCTTCTCTCAGTTATAGAGTTCTTCCTTCTCTCAGTTTCATAGCTGTTCCTTTTCTCAGTTCCAGAATGGTCCGTTGTCTCAGCTCCACAAATGTCTCTTATCTCAGTACAAAAACTGTCTTTTCTCTCAGTTCTAGAATTGTTCTATGTCTAAGGTCTGAACTGTCCGTTCTTTCAGTTCCAGAACTGTCCTATTATTAAGTTTTGAAACTATTCTCTCAGCCCTACAACTGTCTCTTTTGTCACTTCCAGAACTGTTCTATCACTCAGTGCTAGAACTGTCCCTTCTCTCAGCTCAAGAACTGTCATATCTCTCAGTTCTAAAACTGTCCTATCATTCAGTTCTGGAACTGCCCCATGTCCCTAGACCTGCCACTTCTTTAAGTTCCAGAACAGCACCATCTCTCAGTTCTAGAACTGTCCTATTATTCAGTTGAAACTGTCCATTCTCTCAGCTCTAGAACTGTTTCTTTTCTCAGTTCCAGAATTGTCCTATTACTCAGTTCTAAAACTGTCCTATCATTTAGTTATAGAACTGTCCCTTCTCTCAGATTCAGAACTGTCCAACCACTCAGTTAAAGAACTGTCACTTCTCTCATTTCTTGAACTGTTCTTTCTCTCAGTTCTGCACCATCTCTCAGTTCTAAAACTCTTATCATTCAGTTCTGGAACTGTTCCTCTTTGCTCCAGAACTTTTCAATCACTTAGTTCTAGAACTGTCCCTTTTCTCAGTTCCATAACTGTCTCTTTTCTCAATTCTAGAACTGTCCCTTTTCTCAGTTCCTAAGCTGTCTCTTCTCTCAGTTCCACAACTGTCTCTTCTCTCAGTTCTAGAGCTCTCCCATCTCTCAGTTCTAGATCTCTCTTCTCTCAGTTTCATTACTGTCCCTTGTCTCAGTTCCAGAATTGCCCCTTTTCTCAGTTCCACAACTGTCTCTTCTCTCAGTTCCACAACTGTCTCTTCTCTCAGTTCTAGAGCTCTCCTTTCTCTCAGTTCTAGAGCTCTTCCTTCTCTCAGTTTCATAACTATCCCTTGTCTCAGTTCCAGAATTGCCCCTTCTTTCACTTCTACAACTGCCTCTTCTTTCAGTTCCAAAACTGTCTCTTCTCTAAGTTCTAGAGCTCTTCCTTCTCTCAGTTTCATAACTGTCCCTTTTCTTAGTTCCAGAACTGTCCCTGTGTCCTCTCCCAGGTATAGAATTGCCCTCCAGACTCCAAGACTGGATTTGCAATAAAAGTCCACTGATCAGTTCAACAAAAACACCGAATTACAACTGTGTGTGAACAGGTTGGAGACATTAATAAACAAAAATACTTAGTCACCTGATTCAGAACAACCCAATTAGGGTCAATCTGGGCGTCACCCTCAGGGTCCAGCACAACAGTCTGATAAGCTCTGAAGTCTGTCAGGGTGATCTCTGCATTCTCTGGGCAGTTGTCAATCCTGTCAATCACCTTGTCTTGGTCAAAGTCTGACTCGCACACGTCACCCACACCATCGTCTGGAGACATGAACAGAAAAGGGTCTATTGAGTGGGAAAGCCATTTAAGCCAAATGGACAGTGTCTGGGTGTGTTTTTAATAAAGCTTTTTAAATATGAAAATCAAGGTTTAAAGGCAAATATAGCTTATGAGTAATCAGTCAGAGTAAGTAATCATATCAAGTGAAATTATTTCACTTTTCTGTATGTTGCTGTTCACAGAAAGTTATATTTACTGCATCTGTAAAATTTATAGATGCAATTGGCTCCATTCCTTTTAAATTGGAGGCCTGTGGATTTGTGGAATTAGGGGTATTGTGGTATCCCTTTTCAGGAACTCTGGAGTTTATGGGGTCTCTGGGGTCACCTGGGATATAGAAGGTTTTAGCACTTACTGTTGTCATCGATCTGGTCAGGGTTGGGGACCAGACGGCAGTTATCGGGGCCGGGGGGCAGGAAATCGGGGATGTTGTCATTATCATCGTCATCGTCACACTCGTCACCAAGGCCGTCTTTATCAGTGTCCAGCTGGGAGCTGTTTATCACCAGTGGACAGTTGTCTTTTGAGTCCTGGTGTCCATCACCATCACTGCATAACACACAAACACAAACAGATTTATTTTTGAGTGCACAAACATATAATGTCACATGGATGCATAACACGTTATCGGAGTGCCAATGTCATTCAGTTCTATAGTACTCCAGAACTTATCTAGAATATTAATGAGTGTATTATTAGCAGGTAGCTGCACAGACAAAGATTGATGGTTTTTCATACCTGTCTTGATTTGTGTCGCAAGAGTCTCCAACAAGGTCATTATCAATGTCCGACTACAAGAGAAAGTATCAGAAAAAAAATGAATCTCTCTTGAATGCCTGATAATATCCTTCTTGATTCAGTCATGAGGTGGAATTGTCATTGAGGTAATTGGGGAGTACAACAGTAATGTTAGTGATGATGTAGAAATACTGACACGTGGTTATGGTTGGGAATCTCATGGTTGGTTGGAGCTGGAAAAGTCTAGATATTTGTAAAATTCCGCTTGTGTTTTGGGAATATCATACCTGGTTGGGGTTGGGAATGTCTCCGCAGCTGTCGCAGGCATCTCCCACTCCATCTCCATCCCGGTCCAGCTGATCCCTGTTCTTCACTCGCTGGCAGTTATCCAGGAAGTTTTTCACACCTAGAGACCGATTAGAAAGCACATAAGAAAAGTCAAGAATTAATCATTTAGATTCCAGTACATCAGATTACAAGCTTAGTTCAGTTTCAGGCTTTTCAAAGGTAGTCCTGAATGAACTGTACAAGTGAAAAGGCAGCATTCTGCACCACAGTACTGTAGAACTGAAAAGATATTATTAGCTCTGAGAATTGTAGAACTGAGGACATCTTAGAGCTGATTATACTAAGACAGAGAGAAAATGATTCAACATTTTAGAGCTGAAAATTCTAGAACTGAAAGAAGAGGATTCTACAACATAGATCTGAAGATTATAGTACTGAGATGAGCAATCTAGATCGTAGAGCTGTGGATTCTAGAACCAAGAAAAGATTCTACATCTTAGATCTGAAGGTTATAGAATCGAGGAGAGAATTCTACATCTTAAATATGAGGATTTTAAAGCAGAGAGAAGTGAATTTTATATTGCAGTAGCTGCCACTTGGTCTGGTTTGCAGAAGGGCTCTAGAGGCGTGGTATACAGATCAGCGAGCACAGGCACTGCAGAAAGAGGGGACACGACGCCAGACAATACCAAGAACCTGAGCCAGCGGGGAAACTGAAGTCTGCTGGAAGGATTTGCGGCAGCTGCGGAACTTGGGGTAGTGCAGCATAAACAGCAGATGGCTCAATGCTCATCAACAAAGGCTTGTTGATAACCCTACTACGACCAGGCGTGCGCACACACACCAGAGATGCACATCAGACGGCTGAAAGGTGACCAACATGCGCACAAGCGGCACGCTCACCAGTGTTGACACTGCAGTGGACGGCTGAGAGAAGTGCCGTTACGGCTGCCGCCATCAGATGTCTCTGGACTTGACGCAGTGAGGTGTAAAGAATCCTGCTGCGCTCAGGAGGGGCCTTGGTGGCAGGGACACAGCCCCAAGAGAGGACTAGGGTTGCTCAGTGCTTGCGCTGGATTGGTTAGTGTGCCAGGGCGGCTGACCTTTTTTTGTGGGGGACGGTACTTGTTCTGGCTCACAGAAGGGGCTCTAGAGGAGCTAGAGATGCTACAAAATCTTAGAGAGATGCATTTTAGGATTCTTTTCAAATTTGATCTTTTAGATCTGAGGATTACAGAACTGAGGGGAGCATTCTACCTCATAACGCTGAAGGTTCTAGAACTGAGAGAGGGTTCTACATTCTAGAATTGGGAGATTGTATGTTTTAGAGTTGAGGATACTTCATACGTCTTAAAGCTGAAGACTGTACGGCTGAGAGACAAAGTGCACCCGTATCTGTGGGTGTGGGTTGTGGGTGTGGGTTGTGGGTGTGTATGTGGTATGAATGTATGATTCCTCACCATCTCCATCCATATCGTCGTCACATGCGTCCCCAAGGCCATCTGAATCAGTGTCCCGCTGGTCCGGATTCTCCACGCTAACACAGTTATCACAAGCGTCACCATGGCTATCCTTGTCACTGTTCGTTTGATCCACATTTGGCTTCAGCCAGCAATTATCCTAGCAGACACACAAACATGAACGTGCATGAACACAGGGAATCGTAATGATCTAGCTTTTCTTGTGACATAACGGAGGAGATGAATTCAATATATAAGACCATATGCTTGTGGGCAGCCACTTAGTAGGTCAGCCAATTCATACTGAGCTCAACTTAAGGCAGCAGTGAGTTCAGCTACACACAATTCAGTGGATTTGAATCAAAACAACCTTAAATTTGAGCCTGTTATGCTGTACCAGCTGTACAGCCATCTGTTATGTAAAGCAGCACAGGATTCCTGCTCTTCTTCACCAAGACTACTGTTTACCTATGTGTGTGTGTGTCTGTATGTGTGTACCTGCTCGTTAGGTATTCCATCTCCGTCAGCGTCTGGGTCACATGCATCACCCTGTCCATCTGAATCGGCGTCCTCCTGTCCTGAATTTGGCACTGTAACACAGTTATCCTGAAATAGAAACACACACACACACGCGTATAACACACGATAATGACGTGCTCAGAACTCACAGCATGCTGTTGTTATGTATCCCCATCACCATGGTTACCTTCTTGCATGTGGGGTCTCGGCAGCGAAGCTTCTCGTCCGGGTAGCCATCAATGTCGGTGTCTTTACCGCATAGATAGCCGTTTCCTGCCCAGCCGATACCACACTGGAACACACACACGTTAAAACTGAATTCCCTAACCAGCAGTTTGATGATGGCTGTGTGTGTGTGTGTGTGTGTGTGTGTGTGTGTGAAGAAATTACTCTCAGCCTAGCAATGACACTGACAGAGAATGGACCACAACCCAAATAATATCTGGTCAGTGGTGGTCCTATGGTGGTCCCTTTTCATTGATGGCCAGTCTGTTAATTGTACACTTACAATGTGCACCTATATGGTAGGTGTATGGTATGAAATATACATCTAGTTCAGTCATACACTGGGACATACAGTCATACGCAAAAGTTTGTGCACCCTGATCAAATAACATGTTTTGTTGATTTTATTTTTTGAAAATAAGTACATATCCTCCACTTTTGCACATTTTAATACATAATTAAAAAGTTTAAAATAAAAAGTCTATTTGCACTATTGAACATATTGTAAAAATAATAAGGCATAAAATGTGGCCTGTACAAAAGCTGTGACACATTTTATTCATTGTTTTTTTCCCAAAAGGTTAAACTCAGAAAATAAACAGAAATTCTAAATTCTGAATTGCAGAAAAATGCGATATTTAAGTGTTTGAGGATGAATTAACTTGGTTACACTTAAAATCAACAAAAAATTATTTTTAATTTGAACAAAGGTGTTTTGTATTTGACTGTATATGGTCATATGTCAGATATTTCTACAGGCTGGCAGTTCATTTTCTCAGGGCAGTGTGTGTTACCTGGCAGGTGATGGTGCCGTCTCGTTCCTCGATGCACTGTGCGTTGGGGTCGCAGGGGTTTTGCAGGCGATTCCCGCAGCTCTTCTCAGGCTTACACCCCCTAACCTGATCACCTGTGAATCCTGTTTTACAGCCGCCACAAGTGTATGAACCCTGCAATCACACACACACACACCACACACACACACACACACACACACGGACAAGCAGGGAGTTACTTCCAAAAATGTTTATATTTTACATATATTTCGCATATATTATTCAAACAAAACTGATAATTAGAATTAATACTAGATTCTGTATTATTATAATGCAGCTATAATAAAGAGGAAATGCAGCGGTTACCATGGAGTTCAGGCAGACCGAGTTGGCTGTGCAGCCTCCGTTATTTGGCCCCTTACACTCATCAATATCATCACACACCTGTGAATAGACAGAGGAAGAGGTGATCCAACACACACACACTCACACACACGCACACCCCAAGCATGCACATGACAATTCACAAAGAAGACAAAAGCACATCCACACACACTTAGATTACAGTTGTATGCAAAAGTTAACACCCCCTAACAAATTACTTGTTGAACTGATTTTCAATATTTGAAATTTTATTTTCTAAAAATGTCTTTTATTAACGTATTGGAAAAATGATAAAACATAATATATAAAATGTGCCATAACTTTTGCACAGGCCACATTTAATGTTTTATTTTTTTCCCAATGTGTTAAATTCAGTAAATAAATAGTAATTGAGTATTAAAATGAGCAGTAGTGTGTTCTCTGTAAAGGATGTGTTCACTTATTTTCACCTAGAAAATCAATAAAAACTTTTGCATACGTCTGTATACGGAAACACATTAAACGCACACCCTGACCTGTTTGTGTGTCTGCGCAAAAGCTGCTCCAACGCCTTCCACAGCCATGCCAGTGTAGCCGAGAGGACACGCCTCACAGCGGAATCCCGGGGCCATGTTTACGCACCGCACACCCGGGAAACACGGGTTAAACTGGCACTACAACACACACAAGTTTATACATTATGGGATATATATTAGGGTAATTTCCATTCCCGGGATTTATTTCCCCAGTTCATCTGTTGTGCTTTTTGGCAATGGAAAATAATATGTTTATATTATTTTAAGGAAAAAACCTACTTCACTTTTAATGTAAGTTAATGGAACCAGACTGTTTATGTATATTGTATCTCCATTTTTGTCGTTTTCAGTTTTTGACAAAATATGAAAATATCTGTTGTTCTTTATGTCGTTCATATTTCATGAAGAACAGACCGAAAGAAATGACCCAAAATTACATTAAAAGTGAAGTAGGTTTTTTCCTTCTCCTGTAAAGTTACAATTTTGGAGATAGGAGGTTTTCTTCAGACAACAGCAATATATATATATATATAGCCTAGATATATATAATCTAGATTTCTAGATTTTTCTAGAAAAATCACTCACAATAATAATATAGGCCAAGATGACACTCATCCCAAGACCCCCAAAATTTTGCATAATTTCAGGAAGTGGACCCCCATCTTTCCCTTAGTTTGTGCCAATGGCACATACACACACAAATGTACGATGTACCTCATCGACATCGTCACAGCTGTACCCGTCTCCAGTGTAACCATCAGGACAGGGACCACACTCTATTCCATCCTGTGTCTCGATACACATATCGTCACGGAAACACACACCAGGGGCGCACCGCTGCTTCACCACCGTCCCGTCCAGGCCTGCAACACAACCAATCACATGCCACTGTTGAATGAGCATAATAACTCATCAGAAAACCACAGGCTTCTACTGGGTCGGCATAGTTATTTTTAAACTGTCACGTGTGTCAGCACCAGAGATGGACTGTATCAGTACAAAGTCAGAGCTGAAACACATTTGGGACTTTTAACTGACTTGGACTTTAGACAAAAATCTTTTTGCTTTGAGTGACCTTGTACCTTAATTTTGTTTATTGTGTTAAAACTAATGATCAAACATTCCTCTTTGTTGGCACCAAAACAATCACAACACCACCAAATCGTTACCAAATGTTTCAGTAGTGACTGTTTGAGTCCTGACAATTTTAACCAATTTTGATCACAACTCAAAAACGTGAGCCAGTTCATGACTAGCAAACAAAGCTTTGAACAGCTTTACACACGTAAAATCATAATATTCTTCATTAAAATACAAAAAAGTTTACTTACACGCAGAAAATCTGTGTTTTGGTAGTGACAATTTTTAATGTTACACTGATTTCCAGATTTTGGGACACATTTACTTCAAAACAATGGGATCTAACTGCTCACCATGTGGCCATGAGGGACAGGGATGCAGCCTCACTTCCTGCTCTAAAATTCAGGGGCTCTAAAATACAACTCTGCCTACAGACCAAAATTCTGTGTTTCAGTAGTGACATGAAAATTTTACTTAAAAATTTAACTGATGATAAATCTAAACCTTTCAACATTAAATGAAAAAGATCTTTAAAAAAAATTAAAATGCTAAAAAATATAAGTATTATTTTTACAAGTGTAAATTTAGGGGTTAGAGTTTGGGACAGACACCTCCTAACAAAGTACCCTATAAATGATGATTTTGTATACATTTAGCTTATTACTATCTCTGATCATTTCCCTTGTTAATATATAAGGTCTGATTTATACATTTTTCATTTAAATATTTTTTTTGTGACCACAGTTTAACTTTAAACTGTACGTTTAAAATACAGAATACTAGTTTGTAAACTGTATTTAATGGTTTTATAAAAAAAATCTATATTTCATATATAAATATCTTAAATCATGATATCTGGACAAAACTTTGTATCTCATTTTTTCCTTTTTTTAAACACTAACATAAATTGGCAAATACCAGATGTCATTTACATTGTGTGAAAAAGTATGAGTAATGGACTAATTGAAATGGTCCAAAATGACTTGGAATAATACATTTTTATTAAAAAAAGCTATGAGATATATTTATATAATATAGATATGATAGACGGGCGGCACGGTGGCGCAGTGGGTAGCGCTGTCGCCTCACAGCAAGAATGGCCTGGGTTCGATTCCCGGCTGGGTGACCAGGGTCGTTTCTGTGTGGAGTTTGCATGTTCTCCCCGTGTCTGCGTGGGTTTCCTCCGGGTACTCCGGTTTCCTCCCACAGTCCAAAAACATGCAGTCAGGTCAATTGGACGTGCTAAATTGCCCCTAGGTGTGAGTGTGTGTGTGGATGTATATGTCTGTTTGTCTGCCCTGCGATGGACTGGCGACCTGTCCAGGGTGTATCCTGCCTTCCGCCCGATGACAGCTGGGATAGGCTCCAGCACCCCACCGCGACCCAGAAGGATAAGCGGTTTAGATGATGGATGGATATGATAGACAAGACTGTTTCTTGCTGTATAGCAGGCATTTAGGGACCCCAAGCCACCTGGGGGCCCTTGTGAGCATGTAGCACTATTTAATTTATCTTACTAATTATTAATTGAATCTATTTATGAACACAATATAGCAGATTTTGTTCTGTTAAAATGAATGAAGCAGTAATTTATGTATATATTTATTATAATATTTATTTTTCATTTCTGCCCACACAAAATAATATGACCAGGGTGGGTCGGGGTCCCACAGATAGACTGCTAAATGCTAATTCTGTTACATCAGCTAACAGACGCCTGTGTTGCATAGTATCATGCTGAGTGATGGGGGAGATCCTCCTACCCACACAGAAAGAGCCAGGACAGTTTCTTGGACTGTGGCATCGTCGAGGGCTGAAAAATGTCATTTTTATAACATGCCTATGACTTTAAAGGGGTGGGTCTCATTGGACTGGTTATAAAGGCTTGATTATTGGTGAAGTTTTGTCTCAAAATACATTGCAAATTCAATGCAATGTACTTTTGCCCATCCCTGGGAAGGTAATCATTAATAAAGGCTGGTTTCTTGCTTTAGTGTGCTGCTAAACTGCAAAGACAACAGTTAAAAATCCTGTTTGGCCTTAACTTTAGACGTAGGCTTAATCTGGATGTGGGAACAGACTATAAAAGTGACACTAGTGCAAAAACTGCACAGTATTTGCCCTACAGTAGTAGATTTTGAGAAGCCTGCTGTTTTGGACGGCTGGTTAGAACATTTGGTTAGCACATGTGGAGTCAAAGAGTGGACCGGCTGTGCTGCGCGCACCACACACACACACACAGCCGTCAGATTGTGAGGGTCTTACCGCAGGCTTGACACTCAGAGATCGTGTTTCTGAGGAAGGAAGTCTCTTTCACCTGCAAATACACATAAATATATAAACTATACAGAGTAGAACAGAAAATACAGTACAGTGGAGAAGAGAGCAGAGCTTTACCTGTTGAATTAGCACATCCTTCAGCTCGTTTATAACTTTGGTCAGCTCCAACATCTGATTGGTCAGCTGTTTGGTGTTGAGCCCTGGGACATTGGACGTCACACATGAATACAACGTGTTTTTTATGAAAGAATATTGTTTACTCATAACATCAGGGTCCCATTTCTGCAGAAGCGTTGTGTTAAGCCTGGCCAACACTATGGTCATTAAGACCCCACAGTGACGTAAAAGCATTCATGATGCTTTTTTGCCATCTCGTCCTGCATTATTTAAAAATCAAGCAACATCAAAAATTATTTACATAGTGACAAAGTATTTGGACACTGCACAAACTTCAAGGCATCATTCAATAAATGTTAAATCATCTATCTAAGAGCTGATAAATGTTAAACAGAGCTGCTGACTAGAAGAGAAGAGCTGTTAACATTAGCTTAGCTAGCATGATCACAGCTATGCTCACCACAGAACATGTTAATTTCTGGCTAATTACTGACACAGTTTGGATGATAATAAATCAAATCTGAAGGAGTGAATTAGAGCAGCTGGAGCTGAAGAGACAGAAAGTGAGATTAAACCTGTTCTATGGTGTTTGGATCAGTTAACGTTAGCTTAGCGAGCAGCTACAGACCCAAACAGAGCTACAGACCACAGCACAGGACTGATTCTGACTGACTGCTGCTCCGCTAACACAAGTGTAGAGGATAAAAACTGAAGTCTGAGAGAGGAAAAGAGGAGTGACTGGAGTTGAAGTGACAGAAAGACATAAATGAATCTGTTCTGTGGTGTTTGGGACTGTAGTGTTTTGGCTAAGCTAGCGAGAGCCATGTTAGCAGGTCAAACGTACCACAGACCACAGTAGAGGACTGATTCTGACTGACTGCTGCTCCGCTAACACAAGTGTAGAGGATAAAAATGAAAGTCTGAGAGAGTAAAAGTGGAGTGTCTGGTGTTGGAGTGACAGAAAGCTGAAATCAAACCTGTTCTGTGGTGTTTGTGACTGTAGTGTTTTGGCTAAGATACGATACGATAGCATAGTTAGCAGGCCAAACGTGCCACACAGCATAGGCTCAGTTCCAGCTAACTGATGCTAAAATGATGCCCATTGATAGGATATCTGAGAGCGCAGAGTCGAGTGACTGGTGTTGGAGTGAAAGCTGAAATCGGGTGTGTTCTGTGGTGCTAAGCCACTCTTAGCCACCAAGCTACCGCACGTAGCTTTTCCTGACTCTGATTTTTCCTCTCTTTCTATCAGCATCACCTATCGGTGAGCTCTAATAAAATATAAGAGGATGTAATGTGTTTGTTTGGACATTCAGACATGGAACAGAAATTTGTCAATTTTGAATTACCATAATTTTTTAATACAGTGATATACCTTATTACTGCTGAACTGCTCAACCCTACCGAATTCCCCAGAACAAAACACCACAGACAGTCCTGTCTCTCAGAACATCTTCTGCATCCACATGACTTTACAGCAAGACAACCATAACGACAGCAGCAAAGTCACAAATTACTGTACTAATTATGTGTGGATTTAGCATCCTAAAATTGAAAGGAAATATATATTTATTCACAATGTTAAATAGGATAAAAGCATTTTTATCCTTCCATTCATCTCAGCTTTCCATTCAATTTGGCTCTTCTTGGTTATTTGTGTGACGTCAACATTGTTGGGAGAATCTGTGTTCCCCCAACACTACACTGTGAATATTGAAAGTGTTTAATATATATGATTCAAAGTCAGGGTGGCCACAATTTGACAGCACGTAGATTGGAGGGGACAAGATTGGACTATACATATGTCACTCTACAGGATAATCTGGGTTAGATAATCGTTTAAAACCAGCCTGAAATTGACACCTTTTGTGACTGTGTGTGGGGGGGGATTGGCCTCAAGTTAGGCCTGATTACAACAAAATCATTGTTCAATTTTCAGTACTTTATTGCCATATCAACTTGTTGAAATTTCAGTGTTCACCAAAGAGTAAATGCAGTAGGACGAAAGCCCTGATAGCATAAGGATAGTGGACAGCTCTCGGCCCACTAATGGCAAAGCTGGTGGTCCACTGGTGTTTTTTCTCTCTCAGTTGTTTGTAATATTTGTCTTTGTTTATTTTCCAAAATAAAGTCTGTGTGCATTTAAAATCTGTTTGAGGAGATTAAAAACTAGTTAGAGCTTGTATGCAGGACAGGTATCTGGGTGGTTCGAGGGTGAACCAGCAGTTGCGAAAAGTCAGTAGGGTGTCGACCTTATCAAGCCAGCGGACTGATATATGCTGCTATCTGGGAGTCTAAATCAAAATCAAGAGACAAAATAAAAATACAGATTATAGATCACTTAAAATACAAATAATTTACTGTGACTCATTTAAAGCTTCATACAGCCCATCATGTATTTACAATTGATCCATAATTTCGGCCGGCCAACGATTTGTCCTTTTTTCTGCGGCTAATGTTTACATCTGAGGATTTGCTTCACCTCACCCCAGTTACCCAACGTGAGCTCTATAAAGTCAGCTTAGACTGATGATCCTGATGTTGAAATAAAAAATACAAGAGGAACCATTCAATTGAAAACTTGGCGTACCATAAATGCTTAGCTAGCATATTATTCTAATTTAGACAGATAGTTACTTAAATCTGACACTGTGGCTTTATTCACAACAGCAGATACAGCATGACAGAATGAAAAATGCATGGGATTATCAAACAAATCCACAGAGAGTAAAGAATTAACCCCTCTCCAATAACTTCACTGGTGTTTAGCAGGAACACCAATGCTATCACAATAAAAGTCCCATATAAATCTGCTCTTTATTGTAAGTTAACTTGATTTAAATGAACACTAAAATATTTATTAAACCCTATGTATTTATACTAGAACTACTACAACAACAACAACAAATAATAATAATAATAATAATAATAATAATAATGATAATAATAATGATAATAATGATAATAATAATCAAAAAGTAAAAGGTTACATTAAATATTCTACTTGAAAAAAAATATGGGCCCCCTTTTTTACTGGCCCTCTTGGAGAAGATAACCTAGCTAGCTTGAGACCACTAATTAAAAGGTTGTAATAAAAATTGCTCTATTATTTAATGATCCTACTGCTATGACACCTTTGGTGAACTGGCCACTGGCTCCTAACTTAACCTCACATCATCATGATATAGATAGACTGTTAATTATAAAATATGAAATATTTGAATGACATTACCCAGAGTCTGCACAGAGTCGCTCTGATGGGTGTGGCAGTCCTGCAGTGATGCAACATTCTCCAGCGAATCACCAAAGGCCAGCTTCAGCTCCTCCAGTTGCTCCTACCAATCATATCAGAGTTTACTCCTTACTGTCCACTTTATTAGAAACCCTTACCTCATACCACTCTCTGTCCACTTTATGAGCTCCATCTACCTTATGGACCCACAATATAGGTGTACAATTACAGACTGTAGACCATCTGCACATTCGAGCCCCCTCTACCCCATTCATCATTGGTCAGTTTCTGACCACAGGTCTGCTGTTGTCCAAAGTTTATTTGGTTCAGCAGTGACAAACTCACCTGTGCTTTCCCCTGCATGGTCTTTAGCTCCACCCCCTGGTTGCTGTTGAGGCCGTTGAATGCCGCTGGTAAATCTCTCACTGTCTCAACCAATCGGCAGTCCAGATACAGTTCTATCCCCGGCACGGGCAGCGTCCCCTGACCATGTGGGACCGGCCCCGGAGCTCTGACCTCCATGCCCTTCAGGTGGAAAAGGAGGTGGTGCTTCTCTCCGTCCGCTAATTTGAGATTGTTAAAGGTAACAGTGGCCATCCTGCCATCATTGCGAAGATATCGCAACGTAGCTGTGGAGCAAGAAAACAGGAGGAAGAGAAAGATAGAATCAGTGCATCACTTCAAAGAACGACTTCAAAGGTAGAACAGATGAGAGTGGTCAAGGGAAAAACAACAGGACTGAAAGGAATGATATGTGGAAATTAAAACCAGAGCGAGTGCCTCCTTTTGTTTTGAAAGGCTCCAATGCAAATGAAGTCTTAATATTAACAAAACATTTTTTGGGACGCTGCTATTGCTCTCACCTTTGTTGAGTTTGCCCAAGACGGTGAACTCAAAGTACTTGCTGCCGTCCCGTGGATTGTAGAGTCCAAACACGGTGGTGCCGGTTCTCGGTTGCAGACGGAACGTGGCCAGCAGGAAGAGTTCTGTTACACCCTGTTCTGCCAGGCCCCCGTGCAAGAGATCTGGCAGACAGTCTGGCGACGTCAGGAGGTTATACACTGCGGGAGGTCACATCAGTGTTAAACTCCAGGTGGAGAATGCTATTGAAGTACCTATTGAGCATCTAAAGAAGGTGCTCTATGGACAGTGGTTCAGATCAGTGTCCATAGAACCACAAATTAAAAGGCCTTTGGCTATGGACATAAAAGTCTGGCTTTTAACCTTTTGTCCATGGTTATGATCTTTAAAACTGTTTTTATTGTTATTTGAGTATCTTTAAAGATGCATTAGTGGATTTATTTCTTTTATTACTAGTACAAATAACCTGGAAAATATGCAGCCCCTCCCTACACTGAAAAAACTCTGACCCATCTTCGTCTGCTTGGCTGAGAATCTGGTTAGCGACCTGCACGGCAGGTTCTACTACTGTGGGGGAAAAACACACTGTGCTTAATGAGAATAACCATGTAAACTTAATGACGTTAAACATGCTAAACTAGAATCAATTTATTGGAAGGACTTTTCATCAGGAGATCGTGAGTTCGATCCCTGGTGATACTACAGCCATCCATGGCCGGGAGTCCAAGAGAGCACATTTGGCCTTTCTCTCTGGGTGGGTAGCATGGCCCCCCGTCTCCCCCTATCACCCGAACGCGATGCTAGTCAGCACAGGCATCTGTTAGCTGACGTAACAGGTCTGGTGTTTGGCGCTTTCCTCCGAACACGTTTTGATGTCCAGTGATGTTACGTAAGCGGCAGTTTGAAAAGATGCCTGTGCTAGCCTTCTCCCTCCTAGCACTGGTGGTATGATGTGATTGGGGGAGTGCTAACTAGTGGGTGGAATTGGAAATGACTAAATTGGGGAGAAAAAGGTAATGCTTTGGATGAACCACCTTCGTAGAGATTTATGTATTACCTGTCAATTACATCATACTCCAGTGCCGGTAACCTAACTAACTAGACAAGGCTAAGGTCGGCTTCTTACTAAAACTTTCCGTTCCACATTAAATGCTGCTGTAGAGGTGCTATTTGCCTCATTACAGCTCATTACAAAGAAAAATAGGACACCCTTGACTGTTGTCGAGCAGCAAATTGGTATGAACTGGATGTCAAGTGTTTACAGGCTTGTAACTTTGCAATCCCCCCAGACAAAAGAGGCACAGGATTTGAATGCTCGCTCTCGGTAAATGCCACTGCTATACAAAGACTCTAAATGACTGAGAATGGGAGGTTGATCCAAAGAGTAAAAACAATTATTCCAGTGTTGTAGTTCACCTATTTAACCGAGATTTGATCTTCAATTTTTGACGCATACATGTTAAAGAAGGAAAGGTAGCGTTTGGCAAATGTTGGAGACATTACATTGGTTAATGCATGAAGGGCACCATAGCCTACATCGAGGTGGAGATTTTTCGAGGTGAGGTCATTTTAGCTCACTGTAAAAAGGTCAGTTTAGCCCAAAGCATTTGTAAACATTTTGGAAGGCAGCAACTGCTAAATGATTTGAACTCGACCACATCAGTGTCTGAAACAATGGTTTTGCTCCCATTTACCAGGTGATGAGGACTGAAGCCTCTGCAGACACCCAACTAACACCAGACATACCAGATGTGGACTTGGAAGCTGGTTTCAAAGCCACAGACCCACTGACCCAACAATTTCCATTCTTTTCTGGTTGAAGTATCTTGCCTGTTTGTAGCTATTGGGAGTCACATTCAAATTTGAAATGTCTGAGAATTTTGAACTGTGAAGCTGCTTAAAGAAGGCAGTGGAGAATGGAGACTTGCTGGTAATGAATGGAGAATCTTAGAAGAACCAACAAACACAGGGTAGGCCATAAACCACAAGCTAAAATGATAATGTTGCTAAGTATAAGTGAAAGCTACTAAGGTCCAGTTGGCATGTCATCATGCTAACTGGTCCCCATGTGGTTTTGGGTGAATTTTGAATAAAAGGGAAAAAAAATGGACCAGAAAATGAGAGGATGTGGTGTAATAACTGGGGGAGAATTGCAGGGGGATCAAAGACATAAAATGGCCAAGCCTTATTTGACAGTTTTTATGTCCAGCAAAGTCTGAAAACGACCCAGTCGACCCATATGTAGTAGTTTATAATTCAATTCAACCCCTGTTTTATTGGATGAGATCCATTAGAAGTTTCCAGAAGTCAAGCCCCATGGACCGACGGTAGCAGTGATGTCATTGCTTGAAACTACAAATACAGATGTTGGTTGTTATGGCGGTGGCTGTTGGCCATTGACTGAACAGGCCTGGCATTTATGTTTCCTATTAAAAGGTGTGCGTCAGGGCAAGGCCAGCATCCTAATCCAGACTTTCCTGCGTCTAGAGGATAGAACAGGAAAGTAATCGATGTTAAACTGACTCTTAAAATTAAGCTGAATATGCAAAGACCCAAAAGTTTCCAGTCTTTTGGTTAAAGTGCTGTTGTGAAAGAAAAATGCATTTTCAGAAGTGTGTTTTTGATGGAAAGTACACACACTTTAAACCTACTTTAATACATACTGAATGTATTACTTTGGAACAACTCATGACAACTTAAGATGTTTTTAAATTGTAATTAAGCTATGATTAAACATACATTCTTTGCAGTTACTTGTGCTTTTGTGAGATGCACTTAAGTAGAGTTATGTATGTAATTTGCAGATTTAACTTTTCTTATATGTGGAATAAATTATAAATATACTGCTGGATGCACTGCAACTAAATATGCTTAGATGCATTCAACAAATAAATCATATGTTTAAGTAAACACTTAAATATATTATTAGAAATAACTAAACACAACTTATATACTCTTATATTCATGTTGAAATGTGCTTTTCTGTTCTTGACTGGAACAAACTCATGTTGCAATAAGGTTAACATAGGCAATTGTTAAGACACAAATTCTACTACACTACTTTTTAAAACGTAGACTAAATGAATGTACTGATACCCATGTTTGATTGCTAGTTAGTTTGAGTTATATTGCAACTAAAATATACTAAAGCATACTTCAACATTCTTTGGTTTAAAATATGACCTAAAATACACTCATTAATTAACAGTAACAGTATGTTTTCTCAACACTGGTAAAAATCTATGGAATTACAGTCATTTAATTTACTTCCTTAGAAATATTGCTTTTACTGTATTTTAACAGTTCAACCAGTGAAGTTGGCTTAAGAAACTACATTACATACAGACTCGCACACATACTAGCACATATACATACACACATATCAGCAAGCATCTCAGATACTATAGCAGCACTTTAGCAACACCTTAGCAACCACCTGGGATACCATAACAAAGGCCTACAAACATCTTAGCAACCACCTAGGATACCATAGCAACAGTCTAGCAACACTTTAGCAACCTCCTGGGATAGCAACAGCCTAGCAACACCTTAGCAACTACCTGGTATACCAAAGCAATGGACTACAAACACTTTAGCAATCACCTGGGATACCAAAGCAACAGCTTAAAAACAGCTTAGCAACCTCCTGGGATAGCAACAGCCTAGCAACACCTTAGCAACAACCTGGTATACCAAAGCAATGGACTACAAACACCTTAGCAACTACCTAGTATATCAAAGCAATGGACTATAAACATCTTAGCAACCACCTGGGATACCAAAGCAACAGCCTAGAAACATTTTAGCAACCACCTGGGATACCATATCAAAGGCCTGGCAACATTCTTAGCAACCTCCTGGGATAGCAACAGCCTAGCAACACTTTAGCAACCACCTTGTATATCAAAGCAATGGCCTACAAACACCTTAGCAAGCACCTGGGATACCAAAGCAACAGCCTAGCAACACCTTAGCAACCATTTGGGATACCAAAGCAACAGCCTAGCAACATCTTAGCAGTCATCTGGGATTCCATAGCAATGACTTTGTCAGACCAACCTAAGGTTTGTTCATGTTCTAGTTCAACCATCATTTTACCATAATAACAACAGTAATCCATTGAAATCAATGCACATGTTTGTGAAATAAAGGCAGTTGTTTTGTGAATTTACATACTGTTTCTGTAAATTAACAGCTTGGTAAAATACAGCATGGCTTATTTGGCTGCATTTGACCTTTGTTTTTGCAAAAAAACGAGTATTGATTGTTAAATTTACAGAACTTTACAGTGAAAAGCATTTTTGTGTATTAAAAATATACTGAAAAACATAGAAAAGTATATGTGTTTTTCCATGAAATGAAAAAAAAATCAATGATACCATTGATGTACTAAAGTATGCTTCTTTCGCAGTGGTGGGTCATCTGTCTTCTGACCTCCAAGATGAGCATGTATGTGTTTGTTGGTTGATTGCAGTGCCACTGGCTTACATTTCTGAAAACTTACTCTGGCTTAAAGTACTGACCACCATCAGTCCAGCTTTCCAGCTTTTGGATCTCCATTTCGGAGCATTCCTGCTCATTTTAGTTACATGTTCTACCTTCTAAGGAGGCTCAGGAAGGTCAGAGTATTTTTAAAAATTGCTTTTTCAAAATACCGAGAACCAATTTGCATGCTAATGTTTCATGGTGGCTGGCACGCTGGGTTCTGAGAGCAGCGTCAAAAACAACACTGAGGCAGATGTATCATGCGACTGTATTGAGTTACGGCTCTTTCATGACAATTCAAGGCTTGGAGACCTGAAATCAAAACCAACAAACCACCCAAACCCCTGGAGGGGTTTCTATCTGTTTTTCTTCGCTCGTCTTTCCTTCTTTTTTCTTTATTTTCATCTTTCCCTCCTCTTCGTTTCATCTTCCCATCTCCAGACATGAATGATGAATGAGAAGAACCTGAGGTCAAAGCCTTCGACCAGTCGCAGGCCTCCACCAGCTGCTGTGACCAATCACGGCTCTCTGCTGGTTCCAGTTGGTACACTGAGTGTTGTTTGTACGCAGATGGTTAGTGATTGCTAACATGTGTGATTTGCCTGAGAGTAATGGGCTTCAGCTGAAACCCAGATGACCATAAAATGGTAGCATTTCATTTCACTGGTTGATTATTATGATCGTTTTGATAATTATTTGGATCTTTATCAGAGAACAATGGTCATTTACATTCAAAGATGAAGCTCATTATATTAATGGGCCTCTAGGTAAGTATTACCTAATGGGCAGCGCTAGCAGAGAGGGGGAGTTATTTGAGTGCATGCTTGAGCTATTTAAGTGTTATGTGTCGGCCTTTGTGTTTCTTGGATTTAATGCAATAATTTGATCTCATCAATCCTGCGAAAGTCATCATGAGTTTAACTTACACCGACGTCTGGTAATGTTCAGACGCGCACACAGTGCACTCTTTTCTCTCTCTCTCTCTCAGTTTCTTCCTGTCTCTCGCCCACATATGCACACATGCGTACAATTAGTAGTAACCAAACAGAGTTGGGCCAGTTTGATGCTGTTTAGTGATTATGCGTTCCATTAATCGGTGTAGATAAACAAGTACAGAACTTATTTGATGGAAGGAATGCTGGGTTGGAGCAAGCATTATGAATTTAGGTGCTGTAAAGGAAGCTATAAGGCGTTATAAAAAGCTATAGGGCATTTAAGGTGCTGCAAAGTTTTATAAATGACTATAAGACTATAAAAAGGTTAGATATAACGATACTAAAAGATGTTAGAATGTACTGTAAGGTACCTTATACCTTATACCTTCTATAATAAGGTATAAGGTGTTACACAATATTATAATGCGGTGTAAGACACTGGAAAAAGGTACTAAACAATCACTGGGGTGGTACCCTCAAGAATACATCTACAGTGCCTTTAGTTATGGAACATAACTCTACTATTTTCCATTTAATTTATTTTTTAAGCTGCATTCGACTCCACACATCCAGGCTTTATATTTTGTTAAGGTTAACTTGTGAAAAAGGTACAAGTACACCCCTTTCCCCTGGTAAAGTGAATGCCATTTATCTTTAAAAGATATTAAAGGTAAACAAAACTATTGTTGTAACTTTTGAGGGTACACCATTTGTATCTTGGTGAACAAAATTGTACCTGTACAGTATATTTTTCTGTGCTAGAAGATATTAGAAGATACTACAACCATGTTACTATACTATACATACTGTAATGTATTACAAGGCAATACATTATAATGTGCTGCAAGATACTATACGGTGGTGTAAGGCACTATAAGATTATAAGGTACTACAACCTTTTATTTAATTTATAAGATACTTCAAAATATAATGTGTTATAAGGCACTATAAGAAGTTATATTATGTTACAAGATACCATAAGATGTTATATGGTACTATAAAGCATTGTCAAGAAACCTTCTATAATAAGTTATAAGGTATTACAGTATGATATAATGTGTTACAAGGCACTAAAAAAAGGTATGTTACAAGATACTATGAGGTATTATAAGGTACTGCAACCTTCTCTGAAAGTTATAAGACACTTCAAAACATTATAAAGTGTTATAAGGCACTATAGGAAGTTATATTGTGTTACAAGATACCATAAGATGTTATACGGTTCTATAAGGTATTATAAAGTACTGTAATCTTCTATAATAAGTTATAAGGTATTACAATGTAATTTAATGTGTCACAATACATTATAAGTACTTGTGTTACCATATACTATGAAATATTATAAGGTACTGAAAACTTCTTTTAAGTTATAAGATGCTACAAGACATTATAATGTGTTATAAGGCACATTTATAAGAAGTTAGATTGTGTTGCAAGATATAAAATGTTATAAGGTACAATAAGGTATTGCAACTTTCTTTATTAAGTTATAAGATGTTACAAGATATTACTGTGTTATAAAGCACTATAAGACATTATAATAATAAATATTATTTGTTATAAGGTACTATACTCAATAATAACCCTCTATAATAAGTTATACAATGTTGTGAGATACTATAATGTGTTATAAGGCACCATAGAATGTTATAACTTGCTGCAAGATATTATAAGCTATAATAAGGTATTTAAAGTATTAAAAAAACACAGCAACCTTCTATAATACGTTTTAAGGCATTGTAAGTCACTATAAAAAGTTATAATGTGCTAGAAGATACTGTTAATTGATATAAGGTACTATACAGCATAAAAAGGTAAAGCTATGTTCTGTAGAAATAAGGTACTATAATGTGTTATAGGGCCCTACAAGAACTTTTAAAGTGTTACAAGATGCTATTCATTGTTATAATGTGTTAAAAGGTGTTAGAAGTTTCAGTAAAGTGTACTCACCAGTTGACTGGGCATCAGCAGCCAAATTCAGACTCAGAATCAGAGATACGGCCACCAGAAGCTGCATCCTGCCTGCCATCCTTCACACCCTCAGAACACACTGGTGTGTGTGTGAAGCTCGTTTAAGTCTGATTAATATTGTGACTTAAAGTTCTGTGCGTCTGCTGCAGCTCGGTGTACGTATTAGAGAGGCTCACCCTCTTCCACAGCTCCCTCAGAGAGAGTCTAAGGAGAAAAAGAGTCAGCTCTGAGCGCCTGTGAGTATTTAATGGTGTGCGTGTGTCTGTAAAAGAGTGAGGTAAAGGCTGTCCATCACATCACACGCAGCTGTGGTGGGCGGGGTTATGACTTTCACAGACGGCCCCATGCTGGGGGGCGGAGCCAAGAGTGGTTCAATGTAATTGGCTCTCTTGGGTTGTGTCTGTGACCTTATTGGTGCATTTTATGAGCCTCCATTTGTTTCCCATCTCTCTCTCCATCTCCTCCTTTCTCTCCCTCCTGGCCTTTCATCTCATGTTTTCGCAAATATATCATAACTTGACAGGTGCTGAAAAATTAGGATCTCTTGAAAGCTGGTAAAAGAGCACTGGACCGAACCTCTATTGTTCCACAAACTTGCTCAGTGAAGTTTAGCACAAAATGTTCAGTTCTAGGATTCTAAGACAACCACAACTACAGTCCTGAGACAATCTATTAACGCTTGTTTAATAGTGCGTAACTGTAATTAATCTTGTTGATAGCATCTTTCCGTGGAAAGTTGTCTCCGAGAAGTGTGCATTCCTTCCGAGAGTGTTCAGGTCCATCTGTTTTGGATCTGCTCCTTGTAATCTTCTTGCGATTCTAAGAGTTTTGCCCAAGGACCATGAATGGGCTGAGAGCAGGACATGATGGCCGGTGATCTATGACTATCAGAATTCAATTCTTTCATGGTACTGACCAAATTACTACAAAGCATCAAAACATTTATCTCATCAAATACCTAAGTTCTCTTATCAGTGTCAGTGAGCCAACAGGCACACTTGCTTCAAAATCTGCTGACTGACTGTTTAAATTATATTCTGTGTGCATGTTTTTAACGTCAGCGCTTCTTGATTAGCCTGTAGTCCAGTAAATATTTCCACTTCCAGCACCTTAAACTCAATTCTCAATTACGCAACACCGACTTTCCATTTGTAATTTAAAAGAAGAATTTTAAACAAAAGAGCTAATTTTGAAGTCAAGGTGTCGATATTGGTAACCAATAAACAATTGTGTAATGCTATAAGACAAAAAAAATCATTTTAGTTTCCAATTAATTTGGGTATTATCATTCAAGTTGAGGAATGTTTTTGAATTGTATCATATTGGATAACAATTAGAGGTCTGTACGGGCATTACATTGAAACCCGAAACCTGACTTGTACCTGCAAATCTGAAGCCCAGCCCGATCAGGCCTAAAAGGCACTGCTAAATTTGAGACCCGAACCTGCACGGATGATGAAGTTGGCTTCTTTAACCCCTTATATGGCCATGGGCCTGCCAGCAGGCCCAAATTTTTGTTACACATTTTTATAACCTAAGAATAGCTCAACCCGTTTGCACTGAAGTCCCTGTAGCTACTGAATAATAAGCCTTAGTGTGTAATATGCCAACATATTGTTCAAACTTTCCACTCCACCTTAAATGCAGCAGTTATATTATGGCGGTGTCATTTAAGGTGGAACAGAACGTGCAAATATATAGCTAACTTAATGTAGCAGATATGATCCGCTAGCAGATATGGTTTTGCAGTGCTTTGTCACAAAGCACTTGAGCTGGCATAAATTGGTACATTTATACTACACTAATTTATGGAATCATCCTCGAGGGATTAGTGTATCAAATGCAGCTTGACAGTGTGAATCTGGAGCTGGTGCTCTACACAGTTTATTATGTTTTGTTCATTACCGCTGTAGCAATTTCCATATGTGAATCATGTCAACATGGACAGCAGTGGCAAAAACTGCAAAAAAAAAAGCCTGAGGTGGCACCAAGAAGACAAGAATGAAAAAGATACTTAAGGAGGATGAGGACATATCCGAGCAGGTGGGCAATGAGATATGTTGACCATACTGACTGATATAACATTAGTTTGTAGCATTTCGAATCCTGATTATGTCACATTTAGGATAAAAACTTTCACCAGTTTTTCATTTTATTACTAACTAGCCACCTTGGTTATCTCAGTATAGCGTATAAATAATAAATAAGAGTAAGAAATGGAAAAGATGAAAATGCGCTGATTTTAAAAAAAGTTATTTTGCACGAAGGCAATGGTGTGTGTGTTTGTGTAGGAGGAACTCCCGGTCTGAAAACAAGTCCACTTCAACCCTGGTGTGCACTTTTGCGCAAACAAGGCCTCATGAGACAACAAACACAGTGAGAGACTGAGGTTGTAAATGTGGGCGGTAACCTTCTAGTTGATATAAGTGTGTGTGTATATTTTGTGAGTATTTTACAATTCAAATCAGATTTCAGGCTGTCCTATTTTGATGGGTCACATCCTTGATTTTAGACTTGCTAGGTAACAATTAACTCCCACAGATAACGGTTGGTCATCGTTCAAAACAATTAGCTAAAATTTGCCTCCCTTGTTCTGACCACTTGGCCTCATTACAGAGGTTGGTGACATAATCTCCAGCGGCAGCCCATATGCTGATCAGGGGGCGAACAGAGCGTGCTCGTGTGCACTGAAATTATAGTCTTTAGCGGAGCCTGCTCTGTCATTACAGCCTTCTGAGGCATTGTGGGTATGTCTGGACCCAGGTGGGCCGTGTTACAGAATGTTCTGATTTGTGTCTATGTGTGTGCGTACCTTAAAGCGGGGAAACAGGCTTTAAGACTGTCTGTGGACGTCTGACTGTGCGGGAACCGTCAAGAGGCCAGCAGGAAAACACACACACACACACACACACACACACACTTACAAACACAGTGTCCTTTTGTTCCCACAGTATAATAGTGCACTGAGCCACTGTCAGTCTGTCAGTTTGCAGGAAGACTACCTTGCTAACGATTTTAACATGTGTGTGTGACAGAGAGAGAGATAGAGAGAGAGAGAGAGGAGAGAGAGAGAGAGAGAGAGAGAGAGAGAAACTGTGGCCCTGTTTACCCCTCAACATATGTCCTGGCTGACCAATCATAATGGGGGTACAATGTGGCTTGGAGATGCGCTGTGTTCACTCGATCACTCAAAGGGGGTCAGGTATACATATGATCGGGGCAGATTTAATGAATCCAGGGCTCCAATCAAAAGACAATGGGGGCTTTCAGAAAGATCACATTGCATGTATATGACATATTAAGAGCGTGTGTGTGTGTGTGTGTGCATGTGTGCAAGTGTGGCTTGTTAAAGTGGTGATTTTAATGGCCTGTGTTATGAGAGGTGTTCAGGGGGCTATAACATTTTGTAGTGACTCAGGGGGAAGTCTGGGGCACTGCTACGTTCTCCTGAACTGCTTTAGGTCCGTAGAACCGGTCCTGACCTCTTGTAGAGCAACAGAATGCACTTATGCTCTCCTGACGAATAATTACTCTGCGGCAGTAGAACAATTATTACCCTGCTCTTTGGCAAGAGAACCATTACTGTCATACTCTGGGGCAGTAGAATTATTGATCTAGGAAGAAGAACCAATATTGTCCTGCTCTGGGACTGTAGAACCATTACTGTCCTGCTCTGGAGCAGTAGCATCATTACTGTCCTGCTCTAGAGCAGTAGCATAATTACTGTCCAGCTCTGGGACGGTAGAACCATTACTGTCCTGCTCTGGAACAGTAGAACCATTACTGTCCCGCTCTGGAGCAGTAGAATCATTACTGTCCAGCTCTGGGACTGTAGAACCATTACTGTCCTGCTCTGGAGCAGTAGAATTATTACTGTCCTGCTCTGGGACAGTAGAACCATTACTGTCCTGCTCTGGAACAGTAGAATCATTACTGTCCTGCTCTGGAGCAATAGAATCAATACTGTCCTGCTCTGGAACAGTAGAATCATTACTGTCTTGCTCTGGAGCAGTAGCATCATTACTGGAGCAGTGGCATCATTACTGTCCAGCTCTGGGGCAGTAGCATCATTACTGTCCTGCTCTGGAGCAGTGGCATCATTACTGTCCAGCTCTGGAACAGTAGCATCATTACTGTCCAGCTCTGGAGCAGTAGTGTCATTACTGTCCTGCTCTGGAGCAGTGGCATCATTACTGTCCAGCTCTGGAACAGTAGCATCATTACTGTCCAGCTCTGGAGCAGTAGTGTCATTACTGTCCTGCTCTGGGACTGTAGAACCATTACTGTCCTGCTCTGGAGCAGTGGCATCATTACTGTCTTGCTCTGGAGCAGTGGCATCATTACTGTCCAGCTCTGGAACAGTAGCATCATTACTGTCCTACTCTGGAGCACTAACATCATTACTGTCCAGCTCTGGAGCAGTAGAACCATTATTGTCCTGCTCTGGAGCAGTGGCAACATTACTGTCCTGCTCTGGAGCAGTGGCATCATTACTGTCCAGCTCTGGAACAGTAGAAAGAGTCTCTAGAGAAATGCATCTGTCTAAGCTTTGGCTCCATCATCAGGAGATTGCAAATTTGATCCCCAGTGATACCACAGCCATCCATGGCCGGGAGTCTATAGATCATAGTTGTTCTCTCTCTCTCTGGGTGGGTTGGATGGTCTTCCCTCTCATATTTGTTTTTCCAGAGCGCCGGATGAAGCTTTATTGTTGTATGTACAACACTGAGGTTGTTTTTCAGTGCCAGTGTATGTTTTAGCTTATGCAGTGTAATAGTAGGTGGTGATTATGGGCCTTAATTTTGTGTTTGAAGGCGAGCAGCTTGATTCCTGCCTGCTACAGATACAGCTGCACACTCTCCACTCCAAAACCTCAAACACACATCAGCACACATGAGTGTGTGTCTGTTTTGAAGAGATAAATGACTAGAACTGCACATGGAACCTATTACCTGAGCAGTTAGCCTCTTTATGTTCTTGTTCTCCCTCACACAAGTGGCACGTGTTTGGAAAGTGTGACGGAAAATAAGAACAAAGCGGCTTGATGCAGGGGTGTTTATTAATCATGTAATCCACAAACCACTATGGTTCAGTAACATACAAACACATGTGCATGTGTATATGCAGGGGAGTAACTTGGAATTTTGGGTAGAACATTGGAGGGGCTAAACAAGACCTTCTGTGAGGGCCTGGGGTTATGCAGAAACAGGAAAGACATGAAATACCTTTTGGAAATCTGAAAACATACAAAGATCTAATCTCATCACAAAAATGACATCCTAA